CACAAGAGGCTAGGGTATGAGAAATCATAGACTTGGTATTAGAGATAGAAACAGGATAGACGCGGCGGCGCTGGGAGCGTATTATTGCCGAAATAGGCCGAAATTGCAACGCTCCTTTTTGCCTAAAAGGATTTGATGAAGTGCTATATTGCATGTTTAATCTTTTTAGAAAGTAAAAGGACTAGTAGTTAAACTGCTTAGAATACTTAATGTTAGCTATAAGGGATAGAGTTTGACTAGTAAGTAATAGCGATGCTATCTATCTATTATATCTATTCCCTAATAGTGATGATAGTTTGTCAGTCTCTTCTTTCACTCTACTATGGTAGCATTGTAGTTGGGTAGAATAAAAGTGAGAAAGGTAATGAGAGGGGCTCGCGAGGATTTTATAATCAAAGTAACATGGCTACGTGTTTATTAAATTTATATAGTATTAATTCTTTCATAACTCTTCTTTCATCCTTTCACCAGTGTTATTTCAGGCTCTCCTCTTTCTCGTGAGCTGCTCCGCCTACTCTACTTGCCACTTGGTAACGCTGGACAGTCAAACTCTATCTTTAATCTCTTCAATCCTCTTCATAATGGCATAAGTCCCGAATCCGGACCCTCAGATCGGTTCTCCTGGTCTCCAGGACAGCAAATAGCTCCAAATCACATAAATGTACTCAACGGCGTTAGTGGGGGCTTACAGGACCTACGGCTGATGTTGAGCCTACGTGGACTTCGTAGCCTCGTCGACTTGCTTGATGTGAGCACTACGCGACGCCGGCTCTCCTGTCACCTGTTGGCTGGAACACTGGATCGTAATGATGCTGCTGTTGCGGCGGTCGTTGAAGCTGCGACAGCAGCTGCTGCTGCCTCTTCCGCAGTCTCTGAAGCCTCACAGGCTCTCCAGCTGAAGGCTCCAGACACAACTGATGTTACGTCTTCTGCTGACCTCGCAGCTCTCCAGCATCAGGCTATGATAGCAACTGCTGATCTGGCTGCGGCTACTGATGCTCTCCAAGGAACTCGAATAACTCGAGAGTCAGACTTGGATGCTCTCCTTCAACTGATCTCTAGCTTGCTAGTTGGCCTTCGAGATCCTACTTGTCCTTTGCCTTCGCGTACTGGAGGCCCAGGAACAGAGACTGTGGCTGAATTCGATGATGTAGAGGAGTTCGTGGAAGCGCAATGTTTAGTGTCGGGTGCTATACATCTTCTGGGCGAAGATCCAAGATCTCGCGACCCAGACACAGCTTATCTGCTTTTAGTCAAGCTGAATAAGTGTCTTGTGCAGGGCGGCCCCGCTCTTATCCGATTTAACTTCCCTGCTCTCCTATTTGAGGTGAGTCTAAGCCTTTTTCACTTTCATGTATACAATTAGTTATCAAAATTATCATTGACTCTGAAAATAACTCAATCCTTTTGCTGCATAAACCAATTTCTAAAATAATTACCGCAAGCTCAAGAGCTATAATATGACTGATCTGAACTTACCCCAAAGTCGTTTAGTCGAGGACATGAATACCAAACTAATATGACCTTTATTATGGTCGAGGTCTCATTTATCTTTACATAGAAGTGGTTTGATCTCGTTTTTGCAATTTGGTTGTATTTTCAGAATAAATG